AATTCAACACAGAGATGGGAACGGTGTAGACGGTGAGGCTGAGCCAGGGAGCACCAGGGCTGCAGGCCGCCTCCTCGGAGTTCCAGGCAGGATGGAAGGAAAAAACATATTTCAGACGAGAACTGTGCCAGCCCTGGAAAACTCAATAAAGTCTTCCTGCGTAAAAGAGGTGTTCCGAAGGCTGGTCATTTGACGTCAAGATGGGTGATGAAAAGGCCCCGCTCATTCCCAGAGATGCAGACAAAGCGCGAGGGGCAGGGCGGCTCCAGGAGCGACAGCCGCGTGAAGACGTATGTAAAGAGCATTTGTCGCATCAACGCAGGGAGCCAGACTCACATTTCCTTTCCAGAAAAAAAAAGCTCTTGGTACAGGCCCAGCAAAAGGGAACGTCTGCACGACCAGAATGAAAATGGGCATCCATTGGATTTTTTTTCTTCTTCTTCTTCTCAAACGGACTATAAGCGTCTAACAAGACACGTGGCTGGAAAATTCCACTGGCTCCTGGGTTTTGCCTTGCCCTGCTCTGCCTCATCAACTCTCTCGATGAGACTCAAAGCTGGCGATGCCTCATCGTTTCCAAATGGGGAGCAGTTCTGGTCCAGGGCTCAGGCTCTGGTCCTCATCTTTCCTGCCACATTCATCTCCTTGGTCAGCTCACCCAGCCCATGGCCCTAAGTACCAGCTGTACGTTGGTAACTCTCAATCTTCCATCTTCAGCCCAGACCTTTCCCGCAGACCCCAGAACTGAACATCCATCTCCCCTCAATCATCTCCACATGGGGGTCTGAGAGACCCTCCAGCCGAGTGTGCCTCACACGGAGTTCCTGGTCTTCCCCTAAACATGCCTCCCACGGCCTTTCCCTCTCTCCACCCTTCTATCCGCTCAGGTCAACACTCTGAAGTCATCCGTAACCCTTCTGTCTCACCCACAACGCATCTGGAAGTACTGTTAACTGTGCCTCTGAAACATGCCCCAAATGCGTCACTGTCACCACTGCCGAACGCGTCCACGCTGGCTCGAGCAACCATCGCTGTCACCTTTAGTCGCCTCCTATCAGAGCTCCTGCCTGTTCCAACCCAGGAGCCTCGGGGTCTTTTAGAAACCCGTCGGACCACGCCACCGCTCTGTTCGAAACCCTCCGGTGGCTCCCCATTTCACTCAAGGTCAAAGTCTTTAATGGCACCAAGTCTTGCAGGGTCACACCTCTCCTAGACCCCTCTGCCCTTGCTCCCTCCACACAAGCCACAGGTGCGTGCCTGCAGGCCTCTGCACTGGCTGTTCCCCTGCCTGCCACGCTCTTCCACCGCACACTCGGCCACTAACTCTCACAGAGGGTTCGGCACCTGCCCAAGGTTTCCCCACCAGGCGGCTCCTTAGGTCTGTCTCTGGAGCCTGCACTCCCTATTAAGACACCATTCTTCCAGCACAGCCCAGTACTGACGCTCAGGTGAGTAGTGGAGGCAGCACCTGGTGCAGAGGGCGCAGCAGGGAGGGGGTGGTTGGGGGACGCTTCTGAGAGTAGAGTCCGAGAGAACAAGCAGGCATTCGCCAGGCAGAGGGGACGGGGGCACCAGCTGAGACACTTCAACCTCTGTGGTGGCAAGTCAGGTGGCAGGGCCAGAATGCACGGCTCAAGAAAGACCCGGGTGAAGGTCAAGGATGAAAGTGCAGGTTGCAGACACCTGGGTGGCTTAGTCGATTGGGTGTCCGACTTCGGCTCAGGTCACGATCTCACAAATTGTGGTTCGAGCCCCGCATCAGGCTCTGTGCTGACACCTCAGAGCCTGGAGACTGCTTCCGATTCTGTGTCTCCCTCTCTCTCTGCCCCTCCCCACTCACGCTGTCTCTTTCTCTCAGAAATAAATAAAACATTAAAAAAAAAAAAAAAGAACGTGCAGGTTGGGGGGTCAGTCAGTGGAAGGTCTGGTATTCAGCCTCAGAACTTGGACTTTATCCTGGTTGTCAATGCTTCCCAACCCTGGAAACATAGTACAGTCATGGGTGACTTGGAAAATACCAATGTCTATTAGAAATAGAACCCATCCACTGGTAATGAGCACCCATAGCATCAGACTGTGGTCTCCACGTACCATTTCCCAGTAGAAGGAACCAGAGCTCCATGGAGATACAATGGACTCTACTTCCAGGGCCGGAAACATACAAGGTGAGCCGTCACATCACATCCTCCCATTTAGCAAGGAGATGGCCCATGACTCCTGGGTCCTCTCGAGGGCTCAGAAGCCAGCCTGGTGGCCAACAATGAGACCATGGAGAATCAATACAGATAATGACCAGCATGCATCGAAATGCATCTGTGTTTAAATCGACACCTTTAAAACAAATTGGTTACTACGACAGAACGGTGCTGGTGAACCGGTTTGGTACTTTGAAAGCATAAATACAGGGAGAGAATGAATGAACTTTATCAGTGGGTAACCAAAGAATAATCGAAAGGAACAGTTTCGCAGTTAGCAAATGAGGAAGGAATGACAAAATTAGAAAGTCGGCATGCTGCAACCCCTAATTTATCAACAGATTTGGGCACTGAATACCTAAACCTGCTGCCATCTCTAAAAGAAAGACAAGCGGATAGTAATATCCCTTGACAGAAGAACATGAAACTACTTATGAAGTCAGTCCTGCAGCCCCTGCCAAAAAAAAAAAAAAAGGAATCTGAATATGATCAGTTTCCAGATTTGATGAGCAACTTACAAGCAATACAGAGAAACCTAATGCAGGACACGTGGGGTGACAGCGGAATTCAAACTATAGGTCACCTTTCTGGATGAACAAGGGGAGATGGTTATAACCTGTCAAATCATGCATTTATGAAAAGTATGAGAAAGTTGTAAATTTAATAATATTTTTAGGGGCGCCTGGGTGGCTCAGTCGGTTAAGCGTCCAACTTCGGCTCAGGTCATGATCTCACGGTTTGTGGGTTCAAGCCCCACATCAGGCTCTGTGCTGACAGCTAGCTCAGATCCTGGAAGCTGCTCCAGATTCTGTGTCTCCCTCTCTCTCTGACCCTCCCCTGCTCATGCTCTCTGTCAGAAATAAATAAAAAAATTTTTAAAAATTTAAAAAATATAATATTTTCAATTTTTTTTAATGTTTATTTTTGAGAGAGAGAGAGAGACAGAATGTAAGCGGGAGAGGGGCAGAGAGAGAGGGAGACACAGAATCGGAAGCAGGCTCTAGGCTCTGAGCTGTCAGCACAGAGCCCAAGGTGGGGCTCAAACTCATGGACCATGAGATTGTGACCTGAGCCGAAGTCCGACGCTTAACTGACTGAACCACCCAGGCACCCCAAGAAAGTCGTTAATTTAAACACTAATATTTGATGATAATAATTACTTTTTTAGAGCAGCACTAAGGCTATAGTGGTGATTTGTGTGTGTGTGTGTGTGTGTGTGTGTGTGTGTGTGTATGAGAGAGCCCTTATCATTTAGGGAAACCTACTGAAATGCTCATGGACAAAATAAACATGATACTTACTACAAAACGCTACAGACGGGGAGGACATGGTCAAACAAGACTGGCCATGAGTTTGTAATTGCTGAAGCAGGGTGAAGGGCGCATAGACTATTTCTTGACTTTACTTTTTACAGTTTGAAACTATGAGAAGTTATGAAAATATTAGCCCCCACCCTCCACCCTGCAGAGATTCAAATTAATGAGTCTGGGCTTCAGCTCGGGCACTGATATTTCATTAAGGCTCTCCTGGAGTTTCTACTACTCAGCCAAGGTTGAAAACTATTGTAATCGCTTATGTGAGACATGCCGAGAGCCTCTGCTGAGACCAAGACAGAGGTGATGGAGGGGGACTGGTCTGTGAGAGGTCACGGAATCAAGCACATAGTCTTTGACTAGATGGCGGAAGAGATGAGGAAGACGGAGGGGTCAAGGCCAATGCAAAGACTTCAGGCTTGAGTGGCTGTGGGTGCTGGTCACTGGAGTAGGGAACACGTCAGGCCTGTAGCTTTGGGGAGCTGGAGGGAGGTGACTTCTAGTGGAGACACTCAGTGGGCCATTTGGCTTGTAAATCTGTAGATCCACATTGAGACTCTGAAGCAGACACAGAAACTTGGGCCCTGAAGGGCTGACCCCAAACTGAGAAGGAAGTCAGGATGACTGCAGCCAAGGGTGGCATTGGGAGCAGTAGGAGACATCGGCATCTTGGGAGCCTGGAAACACCCCCTCCTTTCATGACTGCTCTCCCACCTGCTGTCCACCTTCTTTGGACAGATCCCCAGAGGGCAGTGGCCAGGCTGAGGTGCTAGGCCTTCCTGCGCAAGTGCTGAGCAATTCCTCCTGCACATTCCTACATCCTGTCCTAAAAGCGCATGCAGATCAAGTACCATTTGCTACACAAATCACCGGCCAGGAAACGTGAAGGAAGTCTCCATATGGTATTATACGTGGCCACACACGCCAGCAGCCGCTGCCGCCAGCAACGGTCAGATTGGTTGAAATGACCCACGTGTGTTCATTCCACGAATGTTCACTTAATGCCTGTAGATGCCAGGCACCATGCTAGGCAGGGGTGAGGAGGAATCTCAGGGTCCTGGCCTCGGAGAGCTTGCATTCTAGTGGAGAAGTAGACAGTAAATAAGTAGACAAACACAAGCTTTGGACTTTTAGAAAGTGGGTTTTTAGTCCAGAGAAGAGGTTGTGGAATCCAAGTGTTATCTTGGGGTGTAACCAAGGGTCCTCAGGCACTACCTGGCGTACTGACCCAGGCTCCCAGAATCAGAGAAGTGAGAGGACTTCCCTTTAAAGCAGCAGTAACCGAGGCCCAGAGAGGAAGGTGGGTCACCCATGGTGACCCAGCGGGTGCAGATGTGCAACTAGTCAGCGTTCTCAATGTCTGCACTGGAGATCTCTTGAGCAACAATTTCAGTCTTCACCCTTCACAACAATGTGGTCCGTCTTTCCCTTCGGGCAAATACAATCGCTGGGCACACAGCGCCACAGGGCCTCCCCAGGAGCAGGGACTTACCACTGAGTCCAGGAACTGAATGTAACACTCCAGCCCAGGCCTGGTTTCGCAGAACTGCCGGAAAAGCAGCCTCCCAATTGGCTGCTTGTCACATAAACTGCAGTAATCTCTGTCTGGAAACAGGGAAAAAAAAAAAAAAAAAAAAAAAGGAAAAGAAAAAGAAAGAAGGAATGTGGTGAGATGCAGGAGAGAGACAGGCTGGGCTGTCCTATCAACCCACACCTGGATCCAGAGCCCCGGAGGAATGGAACAAGATGACTGGCAAATTCTCCAGACCCCTTATTTAGCTCCAGGCTGTGTAGACTCAGAGGAGACAAGGGTGGTTTAGAGGAAGGTTATGACCCAAGCTTTATTCCTAGCTCATTCCTCCTTCCTGATGCCAGCAGTTCTGGGGACCATACCTCCACCCCCTGGGTGGCCCATCACCTTGTCACACTCCCCAGTTAGTGACTGGATAAGGGTGGCAGGCAGGTAACCCAAGCCAGTTCCAATCAGAGTGGACCCCAGACTGTGCCAGGGCAGGCCAAGCAGAAGTGCTCTCTCTCCCTCCAGGTATTGGAGTGCGTGGGGGTGAGGCCGGGGTATGTTCTTGACCCCGCGAGGAGAGTGGCTGTGATAATGAGGCTCATGCACAGAGTAGGTCAGAGCCGGGGAAATGACAAAAAGGAGAGATGGTGTCCTTGTGGTGTCATGAACCTCTGGATCAAACCATGCCTGCAGCTCAAACCGCATCCAAAGAGTTTACTTATGAGCTGTGTTTAGGGCAGTTTGAAAAGATTGAAAAATTACTTGTAATTCAAAGCATTTCAAATTATGAAAACCCTGCATTTTCCAGCTGAGGAGCTAGAGGCACGGAAACGAGAAGTGGCCAGCCCTCGGCCACTCAGCAGCCAAGAGAGTTCTAAAGAGGAAATGTAGCGTAAGACTCCCAGCCTGGACGCCTGGAGACCCAGTGTGAGCCAATGACCTGCTATGTGACTTCAAGCAACTCACTTGCTCTCAGAGGCCCCAGTCTTCCTCTGAAAAATAAAGGTGCACTTTGGAGGTAAGATGGGGGTGGGGGGAATCTTCTGGTTCTTCCTGCAATGATGTCAAAGCCTCCACCGGCGGTTTCTTTGGCCAGAAAGATGCTCAAAGGACTGACTCAGACCCGTCGCCTCCTGCCTTCTCAAGCACGGAACTTTGCGCAGCTGCACTAGAAACGGTCAGGTGACCTCACAGGCAAAGCAGAAGGAACGACTATACCCTCCCCTGGGCGGGGGTTCTCTGGACATCAGGAACACAACAAGGAGATATACACGTAACCCTCAGTCAATTCACTTTCACACCCAAAGAACTTTACACAAAGTAAAGCTCTGACTCGCATGGAGGGTGATGGTTGTGAGCACGGGATCGGGAGCTAAACTGCCTGGGTTCAAACCTCAGCCTCACCAATCACTGCCTGAGCCCTGAGGCAACTGACTTAACACTTTTATATTTCAGTTTCCTCATCTGCAAACTGGGGACAGTAAGTAGTCGGATCTTCCTCTAGGACTGTCATGAGGACTAAGACAATGCACGGAAAAGACTCAGAACATAGCGTAACACATATAAAGTGCTTACGAAACACCATGTTATAATCGCGTTTGTGGGATTTTTGGTCTGTTCCGTCTCCATTCCTTCAAGGAATCTCTGCTGAGACTACAAATATCCAGCCCTGAGTTCTCAGGGAGCCTCCCGCCCGTCACGTGACACAGTCCTAGCCAATCAGAGCCCTCGTCTCCCAGCCACGTGACCCAGTCCTAACCAATCAGAGTCCTCGTCTCCCAGCCACAAGACTAGATGAAGGACGGGCACATGACTCAGCCCTGGACAGTAAGGGGTCCCTGTTTCGGCCACAGTGATAGGTTCAGAAACAGACATGTGACTCAGTGCTAGCCAATCAGAGCCCTCTATCTCCAGGCCGGAATGGTGGTTCGAGGCTGACGAGCTGAGCTGGTGGGAGTCCTGGAGAAGTCACAGGAAAGGCATCTGCTTCGCCTTCGGATGCCAAGGTCTTAGGACCAGTCCACCAAGAGCTGCCACAATTGTCTTTCCCACCAGGCAGTGAGCACCCACAGAGAATGAGGCAGGGGAAAGCGGGCTGAGTGCAGACGTTAGAAACCCGGTGCTGTGAACACCCCAGGAGCCCGTGAAGCCATCCTCACCGAGGCCTGCCTGGTGCCTGCCCATTTATTTCCCCGACAGAGTGCTAAAGTCATTTGGTGTTGGGTTTGTGTCTCTTACAACCAAAAGACAAAGTGGCGAGGCATATAGGCTGGAGAGTTTTACAGGCCACTTCTCCTCTCAGGGGTAAACTGGTTGAAGGCAGGAACTATTTTTGTGGGCATTCACCAGCTCTAAGGACACTGTGTAAGAAGCCACTCAAAAACTTCTCATTCTCTCCTAAGTGGATGCTTTGATCAACCCAGATAGCCACCTTCCAAGTTCTCCCTTTTGATGCCTCCTCAAGTGGTTTCGGGGATGAAACTCGCCTTGGACTGTGGCCTTAACTCCGTTACCTTTCCATGCACAGATGGTTCACAAATGGCCACTCCAACAAACATTTAACCCACCTCGATGTGTGCCAGAACTGGTGGAGTGGGGGGCGGGAGGGAATGGGACGCAATCCCAGCCCTCTGGGAGCTTGGATTCTGTTGAACAGGGTGGAATGTGTGGGTGAGCAGACAAGATCCCAAGTGACAGTAATAAAATGTCAAGTTAGATGAGTGTTATCGTCAGCCACAGTAGGGAATCTGGGAAGGAGGGAGCCGAGAGGGTGGCAGGTCTGCAGCCTGCACCTGTTAGCATGATGCCCTGTAGATAGAGCCTGCATTCTCGTAGCCTCCCACTGAACCTGATCCCCCCACCAAGGTGAGGAAAGCAAACTACCTCATCTTTTCCCAGCCAGCCGAACCTCCCCAGCATAAGCAGAATGGAAGTAAAGTACCTTGCGTCAAACTCCAGTTTTATTCAGTTATGGCAGAGAGAACCGCGTGGCTTATGTGACTTGAGCAATGGGCCCCTCCCCATTTCCAAAAGCAATTAAGAGATTTCATGTACCATATTGTGATTCCTTAAGGGTTCATCTGACAGGATTTTTTCTCTCCATATGGCGTTTGCTGTCAGTATGGAAACAAGACTGTTATAAACTCACAGCACAGTAAACACCATGTGATTCCAACACAAGCTGTCAGCACCTCAGTTCCGTGCCTCTCCCAGCTGTACTGAGCATCCCAGGCAAGAAAGCCACTCACTGGAAGCCCGGAAAGAAAGAAAAGAATCGGTAATCATCTATTTGGATTCTTTTTTCAGGCTTCTATAAAGATAAATGGGCTTATCTTCTGAGGAAGCATCACCACGACCACCACCACCAAAACCAAAAGGCAACATTTTTGCAGTTCCTTTAGAAATAAAGAACGAGGTCATAGAAGGGAGACTGTGAATTTGGAAATTGATCAGAGTGACAGGAGGAGATGCATATTGTCAAGTGCAAACCCAAGGTGCCAGTCGCTTCTGCAAAGTCAGACTATACAAGTTGGAAGCACGGGGAGGTCTGTAATGCATCTTCCGAGGGAACCTTTTCTTCTTAGTTTCTACAGAAGCCTCCCGTCACCGAAATCTGGCTTGCAAGGGCCCTTTCCACACCCCTCCTCTGAAGTGTGATCTCTTGGGCTTGGGGGTGGAGGTAGGGTCATCCAGGAAAGAAGGGCAGAGCCTTTTCTCTCTGTCTCTGAATCTCTATCTCTCAGGCTGAAAGAACCCTGGGATGTTATGCCCACAGGCATGCATGCGCTGTACACACACACACACACGTACACACTCACAGACAACGCCAGCTCTTCTAGAACATGAAAAGCCTGCTTTGGGCTATGTGCCTCACTGGCCCTTCCCTCCAAGCCAGAAAGAAGCTATCATTATAGGGAGCATCAGGCTCCTCTATCCTGAAGTGTCCACCAATCACCTAATTATCCCAGCTTTACTCTTGTGGGTCCTTCACTTAACAAACTGTCATCCAAGGCCTCCTGATTTTTGATACAAGAAGGTTCCTTCAACCTTAAGACTCTCTTCTTGAATTCAGCAACTGGGGGTGTGTGGATGAATGGGAGGAAACATATCTTAAACTTACTGGCAGATTAATGATCCAGTAACAGGCTTGGTGTTGACAGCTGGTGGTCAGTTGAGACCAAGAATGGGGGAGTGGCCTTTGTGATGTGATGTTCGACTTTGGCCATAGTTAATAGAGGTCTAGTGGATATGGCAGACTGGAGCATATCTAGAGGAAGGTGACTGGAAATGGGGAGGGGTCTGTGAAGCCCCTTATAAGCTCTAGGGCACCAAGCTATGTCCTCGAACAAAAGGCAGGGTGCCCTAAGGGAGGGGCTGGGTTCACGGTGCACACAGGAGCATGGTGGGAGATAATGTGTTGCCGAGGCAGGCTGGGCCCAGGAGACGGCTGGGCTCCAAGGCCACGGAGACTGTAATGGGTTCAGTGTTCCTCCACGGATCATGTTAGAGCACATGGGATTCGAGGAGAGTTCACAGTAGGGTGGACAATGGGGTGGGGACCAGGGAGCCCGCTCAAGAGCAGGAATAGTGCCCTCACAAAGAGACTCCTGAGAGCTCCCTTACCCCTTCTGCCACGTGAGGACACAGCAAGAAGATACACATTCGTGAACCAGAAAGCTGGCTCTCGGCAGACACCAAATCCACCAGCACCTTGATTTTGGACTCTCAGCCTCCAGAACTGTGAGAAAGAAACGCCTGTCGTTTCAAACACCCAGTCTGTGGTGTTCTGTTAAAGCAGCCGGAATGGCCTCATTTGCTCTATAGTCACAGGCAAGTCCCTTGACCAGGGGCCTGGCCACCTCACGTCTCACACAGACATGCTGGTGAGGCCATGGCCGCCCCTGGGGATTAGCAACATGGAAGAATGCCTGCCCCGTCTCAGCACTTAGCGGGTCCCACAGGAAAAGCAGCCCCTCAGACAGATCTCAGCTCTTCTAGAAGATTCAAGAAATGGTGACTTTTACTTCTCTGAAGGTTCAGAAAGAAAATGGGAGGTAGCCAGTGAAAGGGGACTGGACTCCACATC